TTCTGGGAGTTGAAGTCCACTCATCTTAAAGTGGCCAAGTTTGGACAACACTGCCCTAACAGGACTCAATTACTGGTGGAACGCCAGTTGGTGAGTGTTCAGACAGAGTCTTCTTCACTGTGATGCTCAGACTAAGGATTCTGTCACAAAAACATATTTTGTCCCTCCTGGATAATATTTCAGCCCAATTATTCTGCTGGATTTTCAAATCTGTAATCTGATGTTTCTTCTGATTTGTTAACATTGTTCTATCCAATTGTTTTTTAAATTTTAAAAATTGAATTCCTATCGTATCAGTTTTATCACTTTGAGCCACCTTAAGATCTGAGAGCTCTTCAGGCTTTTAGTACAGGTGGGTAGCATCCACACACAGATATACATTCAGTTGACTCCTAATGCATCTTTGAAGTAGCAAAAAGACATATACATGAGTGTCTATATATAAGAGGCTTTAAATTTTGACTGATTTTGTGCCATCAAGTCGGTGTTGACTCTTAATGATCACATAGTTAGACCTTCTCTAGGATGATCTGTCCCCAACCTTGCCCTCCAGGTCTTCCAGTGGTATACTTATTGCTGTTGATCATCCTCTTAATTTTCCTTCCACCTTTTCCTGCATTATAGACTTCTTAAGAGAACTAGGTCCAAAAATTATATGCCCAGAATATGGTAATATGAGTCCAGTCATTTGTATTGTGAGTGAGAATTCTGGATTGATTTGTTCTATGATCCATTTGTTCATTTTTTTCACTATCCATGGTATTGTAAAAAGTCTTTTCTAACACCAAAGTTCAAAGGTGGCGATATTCTTTCTATCCTGCTTCTTCAAAGTCCAACTTTCACTTCTATAGAGTAGCATAGGAAAAACAATTCCCTGCACTTTTCTGAACTTTGGAGATACAGACTCATAATGGCATCATGAATATCTTTTCCAAGGTCTTCATTACTACCCTACCAAGTGCTAATGTATGGTGTATTTCTTGATTGCTGGTTCCTTTACTGTTTGATAGTTGATCCTAAAAAGCAGAAGTAATCTACCACTTCCATATCTTCATTGCCAATGCTGAGGCTGGCTCTAAGTTACATATCAAAATTCTGTTCTGCTCTGTTAAAATTACAATATTCTCTCTGCAATCTAATCCGGTTCTCCACAACAATATTTTAAACTGGGTGATTCTAGGTAGAACTGCAACTGAAAAACATATATACTTTGAAAACATTATGTCTCATATTAACAATGAGACAGTGTTTTAAGAACAAGGAAAGCAATTAAAAAAAGAACATACCTGGCAGGTCTATCCTGTCATAAATTAAAAAAAAAACACAGATTATTATTATATTAATGGTCATTAGACAATACAGTAAACAAAGCTGGATTGGAAAGTATTGACAACAATGAATTCAGGTTCTGGAGGACAGACAGACACTTTAGTTTCTGCCAGTTTGACCAATATAATTTTTGAGCAATATAATTAAATGCTTATGCAAGGTGAATACTGTGCCTTTAGAGAACATGTGACAGCTTAATGTTTTAGTGCTTTTGTTTTGGGGGGAAAATATGATATGAGAGATTTTAACACCCCATTCCCCATTTTTCATGTTGTTGAAGATAATGGAAATTGTAGCCCAAGAGCATCAAGCTGGGGAAGACTGTTTCAGGTTGTCCACCCAGCTAACATGTTTGTTCCTGTTCCAGAAGATCAGGGTGACTGTAAGCAGTTGGTTTCTAGAGCAGCAACTGCATAACTGTTGTGTATTTCTTGTACAAGATCCAAACCTCTTTCTTGTGTTACAGATGCCATACATTTTTCAAATTCAACAATACAGTGGTACCTTAGGTCACGAACGCTTCTGTTCATGACAATTCGGGTCACGAACAGCTCCGTTCGCAAAATTTTGCTTCCGTTCGCGAACGCTGGATCAGGTGACGAACAGGATCCGCGGCCATTTCCCTGCTGTGAGACGTGGTCGTGGCTTCCTGTAGGGAGGGGGACTCTCCCTC